CATGATCATCATCACCATGATCAGCATCATCATCAGCATCATCACCATGATCAGGTCGCCATCATCATCATCGTCGTCAGCATCATCGTCATCGTCATCGTCATCATCGTCATCAACGTTATTATCATGGTCATCCTCATCATCAGCATCGGCATCATCAGCATCATCAGCACCACCATCATCATCATCATCTTCATCATCATCATCACTACCATTATCATCGTCATCTTCATCAGCAGCATCAGCATCATCAATCATCATCGTCAGCATCATCATCGTCGTCATCATCACCATCATCATCATCACCTTCGTCCGCATCATCATCATCACCAACATCATCACAATCATCATCATGAGTATTATCATCATCAGCATCATCATCATCGTCGTCATTGGCATCGTCAGCATCACCATCATCATAATCATCCGCATCACCATGATCAGTATCATCGCCAGCATCATCATCATCATCAGCATCATCAATATCATCATAATCAACATAATCATCAGCATTACCATAATCAGCATCATCACCAGCAGCATCATCATCAGCATCATCATCAGCATCATCAGGATCATCATCATCATTATCATCACCATCATCATCACCACCATCATCATCATCCGCCTCTTGCGCCTCCTCCTCCTCCTCCGCCTCCTCCTGTGTGCCAAGGAAAAGGATCGGAATGAATGGCGACTGTCCACTCGCTCGTGCGCCCCCCGTCGCGTCGGATGGTAGACCCCCCAGGTCAAGAGATGCATTCCCCGACGAGGCACCACGCTGTCAACACCTGCCTCCTCCGAACCTGGATTTTTTCAGGGAGAGCACGACACCAAACAGTGCCAGGCTACTGGCGCCAGAGGGAAACGGACGGGCAGGAGGGAGAGCGCGCCGCACCGCGGCGAAACGAAATCAATCAGCTGCATGTCAGCAGAATCTGCCACCGTGCCGCGAGGCACTGAGTGGAGTGCTCTTAGGGCCTTTGCGTCCTCTGCTCGGGGTAGCGAATACACTTTTTTTGGCACGGGGACTGCAGGACAGCCGCCGCACCAACGCAGCGATGCATCTGCTCGCCGACTGCTACACGACAACGAACCAGTCGGCCTGGTACTGTACTGCAAACACGCAGCCCGTGGCAAGAGGAGGAGGAGGAGGAGGAGGAGAAGGAGGAGAGAGGAGGCAGGAGGAACGTGGTGGAGGAGGAAGCGAAGGGGCAAGGGCGCTGTGTGGATAACCACTGTGGACCAAACAGCCACTTATGTAATCCTAGAAGGCGCAGCGCATTCAAGAGGGGAAGAGGAAGGAGCAGGAGGAGAAGACGAGGAGAAGGGGGGAAACGAATCGGACCGGCCAGCCGACGAACGCTTGAAATCGTGGTCAGGAAGCAGGCCAGGTCCCGCGCTGAACCCATACACCAAAGAGGCTCCCAGTGAGCTAAAGCTCACACCTCTATGTACGAGAAACTACGAAAAAAAAACACGACACCAAATAGTGCGAGGCTACTGGCGCCGGAGAGCGCGCCGCGCCGCGGCGAAACGAAATCAGAGCGCGCCGCGCTGCGGCGAAACGAACTGTACACTCGCTCGTGCGCCCCCCGTCGCTTCGGATGGCAGACCCCCCAGATAAAGAGATGCATTTCGCGACTAGGTCAGAAAAAAGAAATCGAATGACAGTGCATAGATCCACGTTGTCGACACCTCCCTGCTCCGCACCTGGATTTTTTTAAAGGGAGGAGAGCACGACACCAAATAGTACGAGGCTACTGGCGCCGGAGAGCGCGCCGCGCCGCGGCGAAACGAGATCAGCTGCGTGCCAGCTAAATCCGCCACCGTGCCGCGAGGCACTGAGTGGAGTGCTCTCCGGCCCCTCACCGTCCGTTGCACAGAGTAGTGAATACACTCTGTGGTAAGGGGACTGCAGCCCCGAGTGCCGGGCCCTCCTGGGCGCTCCTGGGCGCTCCCGGGATCCAGCGAGTCTTGACGCATGACCTCTCTGGAACCACGAAGGCCTCGAAACGGGCTGGGAGGGCCCCAAGGGGTCCCCAAGACGGTCCAAGAGGGCCCCAGGTCGCCCAAAGATCTCACTCCAAGACGCCCAGGATGGCCTCAAGATGGCCCAACAGGCCCCCAAGTCGCCCCAGGAGGGGTCAAGAGAACCCCATACAGGGGCCCCAAGAGGCCGAGATCATTGGATTTCTCCAGGTTCCTGAAGGATTTCAAAGTTCGCCTTTTCGGGCGTCCGACGCTCCAAGAAGGTCCAAGAGGCCCCTAAGATCGCACCAAGACGGCCCAAGAGGCCCCATGACGAACCAACAGGCCCACTAGACGGCCCAAGGCTACCCCAAGAGGGCCCCAAGATGGCCCCGAGAGGGAACTGGAACTGACATTGCGCGCCCTCCGCCCCAAGATGACCCCCGAGACCGCCAGCAGGCCCTCAAAAGGCCCCGCGAAGCCCCAGGAGGCCCCCAAGAGACCCACATCCGCCGGGAGTGTGAGTTCAAAACAGCTATAGCCTGAGCTTCAGCTCTGCTGAGGAGGTTGCCGGAGTGGCCCTGCCAGGGAAAGGGAGGGGGGTTCCTTTGGTAACTTAGACAACTTCCCAAGGGCCTCCGGCACAACCCGCCGGCCACCCTGAAAGCTGCATAAAATGCAGTCTCCGTCGGTTTTCCCGCGCAAGGCGGCCCCAAGGCTGCGTCTAAGAAGGCCAAGAAGGCCAAAATGGCGTCCAAGATGGATCGTATTCCCCCAAGAGGTCCTCAAGACGTCTCCAAGACGGTCCAAGATGCACCCGTGACGGCTCACTATGGGCCCAAGATGGCCCAAGACGGGCCCAAAGGCCCCCAGGAGGCCTCCAAGGCGGCCCAGGAGGCCTCCAAAAGGACCTCAAGGTCCGAAGGGTCCAAAATCATGGAGGTTCCAAAAGGAGGTTCCAAGGATTTGGGCATTTGCTCCTTTTCGGCCTTCTGACGGCCCTAGACGGCTCAAGAGGCAACCAAGATCGCCCCAAGAGCGCCCAAGAGGCCTCCAAGATAGCCCCCCGACGACCCAGACGGTACCCGAGACGGCCCCAAGAGGGCCCCAAGACGGCCCAGGAGACCTCCAAGACGCCCAAGATAGCTGCCCAGACGCCCCCGAAGCGCCCCAGGAGGGCCCCAAGTCGGCCCAGGGAGGCCCCCAAGACAGCATCCTCCGACGGCGCCAGATGGGCCAGGAACGCCCAAGATAAGCGGAATTTGCGCAACGCCCGCCCCCAAGAGGCCGAAATACACCTCCAAGAGGTCCCCAGGAGGCGCCCATGAGGCCCCGAGAGCGCCCCATAAGCTTCCAAGAGGCCTCATCATCCTCCTACCACTCCTCCTCCTCCTCCTCCTCCTCCTCCTCCTCCTCCTCCTCCTCCTCCTCCTCCTCCTCCTCCTCCTCCTCCTCCTCCTCCTCGTCCTCGTCGTCGTCCTCGTCCTCCTCCTCCTCCTCCTCCTCCTCCTCCTCCTCCTCCTCCTCCTCCTCCTCCTCCTCCTCTCCTCCTCCTCCTCCTCCTCCTCCTCCTCCTCCTCCTCCTCCTCCTCCTCCTCCTCCTCCTCCTCCTCCTCCTCCTCCTCCTCCTCCTCCCTCCTCCTCCTCCTCCTCCTCCTCCTCCTCCTCCTCCTCCTCCTCCTCCTCCTCCTCCTCCTCCTCCCTCCTCCTCCTCCTCCTCCTCCTCCTCCTCCTCCTCCTCCTCCCTCCTCTTGCCTCTCTCTCGTCCTCTCCCTCTCCCTACCCCAAGAGTTCCGCGAAGGGCTCCTACAACGGCTTGGGGGAACCACACAGTCCGACAGCGTGGCCGAGCTCACGCCACAACGTTCGGCCTCACAGGCGCTTCCAAAAGGCAGGGGGCGGCGGTAATTCGCCGTAGGCGCCTTCGATTGAAGAGAGCGCAGACGTCACCAGGATCGCGCACATCGCGAGCCCAGCGAAAAGAGGTCTGACTATCTCTCTATGTAGAGCCCGTTTACAATAACGACAATGCAATTATACCACTCTCCCTTGCTATGAACACGAACCACATCGGGAAAACCACATGACAACAACGAACAACAACGCGATAACAACGGGACAACCATGGCACCATGACGGGGCAACCACGAGACAACCACAGGACAACCACGAGACGTACGTTGAACTACGTATTGATCGATCTCATCATCGACTTATGTATGGGTCTCAATATCTATCGGCTTCAATCCCCACCGATTCCACTACATATGCGGAGATCTATCGACTCAAAACCTATCGGCCAGTCCCCCAAATTATATATATATATATAGATCAAGACGCAACAACCACAGACTAAACTCGACACAACCACGGGACAGAAACGCAACAATCACGGGACAACCGCACGACAACCACGGGACAACCGCGGGACAACCACGGAACACCCCGAGGATAACCACGGGGCAACCACGGGACAAAAACGGGACAATCACGGGACAATCACGAGATAACCATTGGACAACCGCGGGAGAACCGAACATCCCCAGGACAACCTTGGGCAAACCATGGGACAACCACAGGACAATCGCGGGAGAACCAAAAAAACAACCACAACCACGGGAGAACCACCTAAACAACCGTGGGAACAACCGTGGGATAACACCGCGCACGCCCTGGCGGGTGGGAGAGGGACTCGTGTTGACGTGACCTAGGCCACTCTAGCGCAGGAACTCGCACAACTTCGCCTCGCCTGCACGCACGTCACGCACGACCATCATCGAAACCGAAATAGCCTTCCCAGATGTGGGGGGGCCGTTTCACTCTGGTCTCACCCCCCCAAGCTCCGACAATGCAAAGGTGCACAAGTAAACCAGTGCCCCACACGCACTGGTAAAGAGAGGCACAGCAAACTGGGCGCGCCGCACTGAGCCACGCCTCAGTGGCAAGAGTAGCCCCCCAAACTCTTGTCGCGCCGCCACCGGCAACACGTTGCCGCCGCCCCCGTCTCTTCTTCCCCCGAGGCCTCCACCTCACAACCGGCTCAGCCCATGGCGGCACCCCTCCGTCGCCGCCGCCTCATCAACCTCAAAGGCCTCAAAGGACGCGAGCGCCGTCTCCGCAGCCTCCTCAACCTCCAGGGCCTCGAAGGACGCGAGCGCCGTCTCCGCCGCGAGCACGGCGGCTGCCAGGCCGCCTGCAGCCCCCGCCGTCGCCGCCGCCTCCTCAACCTCCAGGGCCTCGAAGGACGCGAGCGCCGTCTCCGCCGCGAGCACGGCGGCTGCCAGGCCGCTGGCAGCGCCCGCCGCCGCTTCCTAGATAGGAACAAGGACGAGCAACACCACCACAACCAGGAACCAACAGCAGGAGGAGCCAGGGGGCGTCCCCCAGGTGGTGGGGTCCCCCCCTGTCGCTCGAGACATCCCCTGTCCCCAGCTCGGGGAAACATCGTGGACCTCCTCACTGGAGGTAGACCCCCAAAGGTGGTGGTAGTGTCGCTTCTCCTTCCCCCGACCTTAACTTCAAGCGCCTCAAAGGACGCGAGCGCCGTCTCTGCTGCGAGCACGGCGGCTGGCATCGGCCCATGGCGGCACCCCTCCGTCGCCACCGCCTCCTCAGCCTCAAGAGCCTCAAAGGACGCGAGCGCCGTCTCCGCCGCTAACACGGCGGCTGCCATCGGCCCATGGCGGCACCCCTCCGTCGCTGCCACCTCCTCAGCCTCAAGGGCTTCAAAGGACGCGAGCGCCGTCTCCGCCGCCAACACGGCGGCTGCCATCGGCCCATGGCGGCACCCCTCCGTCGCCGCCGCCTTAACCTCTGGGGCTTCGAAGGACGCGAGTGCCGTCTCAGCCGCGGCAGCGCCCAGACCCGCCATCGCAGCGTGGGGCGCCCGGCGCGGCTCGGCGCGGAAGAGCTCCATGAGTCCTGGGACCAGGTGTTGACGGGGTCGTGAGCGCAGCCTATGGCCTCGCTCGGGCGTGGGCCAGAAGCTGCGGAGCCCCCCGTCTGCGGAGCGCGCGGAACGCGAGGCACGAGGCGCGCTCGTCTTCGCGCCCGTGCGCCGCCACTGTAAAGAAGAGCGATTCTCCTCGGTTCCGCAACGTGTCGCGCGGTCAGCTTCGCGCGCCACGCGGGGGGCCTAGAGCTGCTGGTTCCGAATTGATGTCGAGGGGGTCTGGGGGTTGCTTTGCTTCCCTGGCCCTCAAGGGCAGAAAGAGACGGAGGGAGCCTCCGATGTAGTCAGGCAGCCTCCTGAAAGAGTGTGAGGGACAAGGAAGAAGAACTGGAGAGAGAAGGAGCGATCCTCGAACACCCCCCGTGAATGCACTGCTGGATCAGAGTCGTGAACTCGACGCGGCTGCTCGGCAGGCTGCGCATAAGAAGAGATCGCCCTCTGCACAAGAAATGCTCGCGGCCTTGCGCCCAAAGCTACATACATGCGTAGTCAACCACTTGCACGCCTCTTGCCGTGTCTGGCGTGACTGCTTGGAATGTTGGAGGAGAGTGGTGAAGTTGAAGAAGAAGAAGAAGAAGGCAGGAGAAGGGAGGCGAGGGGTTCTTTCTCGGGGAAAAGGGTTCGTCCTCAGGGAAAAGGGTTCGTTCTCCGGGTGTACGATCGAATCCTTGTCGATGCCGGGAGATCCTTCGGAAAGGGTTAGTTCTCCAGGTAAGACCCCATCGAGGATCCTCACACTTCTGTCAAAACTGACTTTCGCAAATCGCAATGAGCTGCCCTTAAGGCGCCACAGAGATTTCCCATCAGTTTGGCTTCTTTTGCCCGGAAAAGGAACTCTTCTTGGTAATAGTACTAAACTACATGTGGCGACCAAGTTGGCACTAGTTCGTAGCTAGTAGCTCACAGTTAGGAGTTAGTAACTAGTACGTGGTAGTTGGCATTGAAAAATGAGTAGTGGTCCAGACGTAAGTAACAACATGTTGTTAGTAGATAGTCGCATGTAGTAAATAGTAAGTAGCTAGTAGCTAGTAAGTTGTACATAGTAGTCAGCCGCCAGTGGTTTGTAGTCAGTACTTACGAGTAGCAGTAGCAGTAGTAGTAGTAGTAGTAGTAGTAGTAGTAGTAGTAGTAGTAGTAGTAGTAGTAGTAGTAGTAGTGGTAGTAGTAGTAGTAGTAGTAGACAGTAGACAGTAGACAGTAGACAGCAGACAGTAGTAGTAGCGGTAGTAGTAATAGTAGTAGTAGTAGTAGTAGTGGTAGTAGTAGTAGTAGTAGTACTAGGAGGAGTAGGAGTAGGAGTAGGAGTAGTAGTAGCTAGTGGTTATTATTCACTAGTTAGTGATACAGTCGTAGTAGTAATAGTAGTAGCAGCAGCAGCAGCAGGAGAATAGTAGTAACAATAACAGTAGTAGTAGTAGTAGTACGAGTGGTGGTAGTAGCAGTTGAAAGAGTAGTGGTCGTTGTACTAGTAGTAGTAGAAGTAGTAGTAGTAGAAGTAGAAGTATAAGTAGTAGTAGTAGTAGTAGTAGTACTCGTAATAGTAGTAGTAGTCGTCGTCATAGTAGTAGCATTAGTAGTCGCAATCGTCGTAGTAGTAGTATTAGTAGTCGTAGTAGTAGTAGTAGTAGTAGAAGTAGCAGTAATAGTAGTAATGGCAAAAAAAAGTAGTAGTTGTGATAAGAGTACACGTAGTAGTTGTAACATGAATAGTAGTAGTAGTAGTAGTAGCAGTAGTAGTAGTAGTAGTAGTAGTAGTGGTAATAGTAGTAGTAGTAGTAGTAGTAGTAGTAATAGTAGTAGTAGTAGTAGCAACAGTAGTAGTCGTAGTAATAGTAGTAGTAGTAGTAGTAGTAGTAGTAGTCGTCGCCGGGGTAGTGGTAGTGGTAGTGGTAGTGGTAGTGGTAGTGGTAGTGGTAGTGGTAGTGGTAGGGGTAGTAGTAGTAGTAGTAGTAGTAGTAGTAGTAGTAGTAGTAGTAGTAGTAGTAGTCGACGCCGTCGTCGTCGTAGTAATAGTACAGTAGTAGAAAAAGCAGTAGCACTAGTAGGTGAAGTAGCCGTAATACTGGAAATAGTAATAGTATGAATGGTAGTAGTGGTGGTAGTAGTAGTAGTAGCAGTAGTAGTAGCAGCAGTCGTAGTAGTAGTCGTAGTGGTGCTACTATAAAAGTAGCTATGGTAGTAGTCCCAGTAGTAGCCGTCGTAGCAGTGGCTAGTAGCAATAGTAGTAGTAGTGGTGGTAGTAGTGGTAATGGTAGTAGTAGTAGTAGTGGTAGTAGTAGTAGTAGTAGTAGTAGTAGTAGTTGTAGTAGTAGTAGTAGTAGTAGTAGTAGTAGCAGTAGTAGTAGCAGCAGTAGCAGTGGTACTCGTAGCAGCGGTAGAAGTAGTCGTAGTAGTAGCAGCATTGAGGGCAGTAGTAGTAGTAGTAGTAGTAGTAGTAGTGGTGAGAGTAGTGGCAGCAAAAATTTGAATGGTGGTAGCCGTAGTAATGTCAGTTAGTAGTAAGCAGTTAATAGCTAGAGGCTGGTAGCTAGCATTTCGGGATTAGTCGCGAACAAATGTGGCTGCGTGTTGCTATAGCAATACCAGCAGCAGTAGTAGTAGTAGTAGTAGTAGCAATAAAAGTAGTAGTAGTAGCAGTAGTAGTAGTAGTAGTAGTAGTAGCAGTAGCAGTAGCAGTAGCAGTAGTAGTAGTAGTAGTAGTAGTACTGTGGCTAGAAGTATTAGTAGTAGGTAGCAGCAGTACGGTAGCAGTAGTAGTAGAAGTAACAGTACTAGGTGGTAGTAGTAGTCGTAGTAGTAGTACTAGTAGTAAAACGAGTAATAATAGTAATAGCGGTAGTGGTGGTGGTAGTGGTAGTGATAGCAGTGGTAGTACCTGTAGTTGTTGCTGTAGCCGTAGTAGTAGTAGCAGTAGTAGTAGCAGTAGTGATACGAGTAGTAGTAGTAGTAGTAGTAGTAGTAGTAGTAGTAGTAGTAGTAGTAGTAGTAGTGGTGCTAGTAGTAGTAGTAGTAGAAGTAGTAGCAGTAGTAGTAGTAGAAGTAGAAGTAGTGGTAGTAGTTGTAGTTGTAGTAGTAGTAGTGGTAGTAGTAGTAGCAGCAGTAGTAGTAGTAGTAGTAGTAGTGGTGGTAGCAGTAGTAGTAGTAGTAGTAGTAGTAGCAATAGCAGGAGCAGTAGCAAGCGCAGTTGGAGTTGCAGCCGTCGTAGGCTTAGCCGCCGTAGTAGCAGTAGCAGTAGCAGTAGCAGTAGCAGTAGTAGTAGTAGTAGTAGTAGCAGTAGTAGTAGTAGTACTAGTAGTACTAGTAGTAGTAGTAATAGTAGTGGTAGTGGTAGTGGTAGTGGTAGTGGTAGTGGTAGTAGTGGCAGCAGTGGTAGTAGTAGTAGTAGTAGCCGTCGTATTAGTAGAGTAGTAGTAGTAGCCGTCGTCGTAGAAGTAGTTGTTGTTATTAATGCCAGTGCCCTGATGATTAGTAGTCGCAGCAGCGGCAATAGTAGCAGTTGTACCAGCAGTAGTAGAAGCAGCAGTAGTAGTAGAACTAGTAGTAGCGGGAGTAGTAGTAGTAGTAGTAGTAGTAGTAGTAGTAGTAGTGGTAGCCGTAGTAGCAGTAGTAGTGGTAGTAGTAGGAGTAGTAGCGACAGTAGCAGTCGCACGAGTAGCTATAGTCGTACTAGCAGTAGCGGTAGTAGTAGTAGTAGTGGTCGTTATAGTGGTAGTAGTAATAGTAGTAGTAGTAGTAGTAGTAGTAGTAGTAGTAGTAGTAGTAGTAGTAGTAGTGGTGGTAGTAGTAGTAGTAGTAGCAGTAGCAGTAGCAGTAGCAGCCGTACAAGTAGTAACCGTTGGTGTAGATTTAGTCGTACTAGTAATGTTGATGGCAGTGGCATTAGTACTAGTAGTAGGAGTAGTAGAAGAGATAGTAATAGCAGCAATAGTAGTGGTGGTGGTGGTAGATAGTCGTATGAATAGTTGTAACAATTGAAAGGGTAATGGCAGCAGTAGTAGCAGCATCAGTAGCAGTTGTAGAAGCAGTAGCGGTGGTAGTAGTAGTAGTATTAGTAGTAGTGGTGGTGATGGTGGTAGTAGCAGCAGTAGTAAGTCGTAGTAATAGCAGTAGTAGCAGCGGTAGTAGCAGTGGTAGTAGTGGCAGTAGTAGTAGGATTAGTAAGGATAGCCATGGTAGTAGTAGTAGTAGTAGTAGTAGCAGTAGTAGTAGTAGTAGTAGAAGTAGTAGTAGTAGTAGTAGTAGTAGTATGAGGAGGAGCAGGAGTAGCAGCAGTAGTAGTAGTAGTAGTGCTAGTAGGAAATAGTAGTAGTAGTAGTAGTAGTAGTAGTAGCAGTAGTAGTAGTAGTAGTAGTGGTAGGTGTAGTAGTAATTGTAGTAGTAGTAGTAGTAGCAGCAGTAGTAGTAGTAGTAGGTAGTAGTAGCAGTAGTAGTGTTAATCGTAGTAGCAGTAGTAGTCGTAGTCGTCGTAAAAGTAGTAGTAGTAGTAGTAGTGGTAGTAGCAGCAGTAGTAGTAGTTTGTAGTAGTACAAGTAGTAGTAGTAGTAGTAGTAGTAGTAGTAGTAGTAACAGTAGTGGTAGTAGTAGTAGTAGTAGTCGTCGTCGTGGTAGTAGTAGTTATAGTA